ATAGAAATAATTGGAAAAATAAATGAAAAAAAGATAAATGAAAAAAAAAATTAAAAATAAATGGCACAAAAAGCCACCAAACACCTTAAAATCTGGTTTGAAGCGAGGGGGGCAGTTGGATTAATTTGATATTTTGTTTTATTCCACAGGAAACCCAAACTTAGCGGGAGAGAGGAGCCGGAGGAGGGGGACTGGTGGATGGGGTTGGCGTTGACGGGTGCGATGCTGGTTTCTGGCACCGTTTTGTGCATTGTGTGTTTTTCTTGCAGATGGTGACGAGGACGCCAGCGACTACAGGAAGGTACCGGGTAGCTGATGCGGGTCACGAGTCTTACGTTGAGGACGGATCTGTTCCCCCAGCCGAGCAAAAGCTAAGTGGAGGGACCGGGGCTGGGGAGAGGTCGGGAGGAGGGGATGAGGTTGCCAATTGTAGGAGGGCTTTTGCAGCTGTCTGGTATTAGAAAGAAGAGGTGCTTGGTGCCTCTGAGGATTAGGTGGCGGCTCAGTGAAGAGGTTCTCTCTGATTTTTGCAGGCGCTGTGGGGGCTGCCTTTGGAACGGGATGAGTGACGAGGTGAGCCGGGAAGTCGAGAGGAGGCGCCCGGGGCTGGGGACTTCTTGTACGCTCAATGGAGGTTTTGTGTCGCTTGGCTTTTTAGGCACCACAAGGAGCGACTGCTGATGAGTCCAACTCCGGAATCCATGCGGAGCGGGAGAGGAGAATGACGCGGCGCCGCTGAGAAGGGGGATGTGGCCAGAAAGGTCCGTGTTGACCTTGTGTGATGCTCATTGTTGTGTGTGGAATGGCTTGTTCCTTCTTTGCCTTTGTATTTTGTTTATCCAGGGGATGAAGCGGACCCTGGGGAGTGCAGGACTGATCCGGATGAGCAATTGTGGTTTTCCTTGTGGAGGATGGCTTTGGACCCCTGGCCCTCTGAAAGCTAAGTTGAGGGTCTGGCGCTGGAGACTGTTCGGGGGAGGGAAGGTACAGGGTGGGGAGTCACAGGGAGGGGTTTTAAAGTCAGAGCGCGGCAGGGGGCTGTCCCGGAGCAGTCCCTTCTGGGTAAATAGAGGCAGTGGGTTACGCTTCAGCCCGAAGCCATCGTTTGCCGGGCAGGGCAGTTCCAGTCGGTGTCTGTTGTGTAGTTTGTGTGGTCTGTCTGCTGTGTCTTAGACACGTTTCAGGTCTTGAGGTCCTCCTTGCACTCAAGGGGCAGAGCGGGTGCCTCTGGCGCCCCATTTTAGGGTTTGAAACCCTCAATGGCATCGTGCTCAAGGGGCGCTTCTTTTCTTGCGTAACAGTCTTAA